TGTGTTGTCAGTGGATGCAGCTGAACTTGTTCATTAATAATATAATCTGACTGACATTATGTTTCCCCCTAAACGATGTATTGTACCTGCTGAAGCAGAACAGGTGGACTCAGTGTGCAGGAGATGAGGTCACATGATGACATCACAGTTTTTAAGGTGGTGACTGACGAGATTCAGATCAAACTTTTGTCGCTGAGAGTTAATAAAAACCTGTTTTATTTGAAGTGGCTGCAGCTCACTCCGCCTCCACGTCTACCAACATCTGATCATCTGGTCCTGTTAAAGCACCTCACGCTGAGTGGGTGTTCAATGTTGCTGCTTCTGAGGAGAACCTGTAGTGATGTATTATGTGGAGAACATGTTGGTCCTTAACCACCGAGAGCAGTTTGTTGCTTTTACATTTTGTGCCTGTTTTATTTTTTTATTTATGTTTCATGGAACAGCTCCGTCTGCAGATGCTGTACTGAGCTTCTACAGCTTGTCTGAAATGTTAAAAACTGATATAAGATGCCAAGTGTTGACTGTAGTGAGTCAGTGATTACAGCAGCTCCAGAACAGTGTTACTGTGTGAACTGGGGGTCAGGTTCAGGGTGGTTCGGTCAGTCATCTGAACGCTTTTGAGAAAACAAAGCCTTCCATACAAAAGCGTCAAAGGTTCACTTCACTCAGATCTCAAAAACATATGTTGTTGAATGCCTTATGGTGTCTTTAGATGGAGTTATTGAGAAATATGTGGAATGTTATGAGATTTATAGAATAAAAATGTAATATTCTGAGAATTAAAGTTGTATATCATTAAAATAGAGTTGTAGTTTTGTGTAAAAAAAAAAAAAAAGTCTAAATTAAACATCACATTGGACTTTATGGAAAAATGGTTGTTAATGAGAATAAAGTGATCACGAGAATGAGGTTTAAATATTATGAGAATAGCGTAATTTAGTCCCAATTGTTTCTCTAAAGGCTCGCCAAGAAGAAGAAAAAATGTTTCCACAATAATACAATATTTAAGAAAAGAGAAAGAAATTGTTTTGATAAAATATTTAGAAAAAAAGGAGTCAGTTTTTGAGAATAAAATTGAAGTTTTACAAACAAAAAAAATTTGGAAAATAAAAAAAGTCATGAACTTTTTTGGGGGAAAGTAAATATGAAGTAAGAAAAAAAAATGAAAATATGAGGAGAGTTTGCAAAGCTTTAAGAATATTCATCATATATAGAGGAAATGTCTTGAGAATAAAATTGTAAATTTACCATAAAGAAACAATATTTAAAGAATGACGTCACAGTGTTTAAAGAAATAATGTTATCTAAAAAAGTTGTTATCTAATGAGAGAAATTGTTCCTGAAAATCCCATTCACTTTCATTGTGTTTGGCTTGAGGGCAGAAACATCAGTACTGTAGTTAAAGGTACAGTTCGGGTTTTTTTCTCAGAGGTTGTTTGGAATACTTACTTAGTCAGACCGCTCCCAGTTTGGAGAAGCAAAGTTCTGCTGTGAATGGCCACCTGAAATAGTCCCACCTAAAACAATTATCAGTTTAAATGTATGCTATATTGAGAGTATTTTCACTGTTTTACTTTTTCATCAGACTGCCCGTCACAACTAGGAACCCGTAAACGGCTTCAGTTCCCATCGGAGCTCTTGTCAAAACCACCAGACTCCATTGACAAAAACAGTAGTTTAAGCTCACTGAACATGTGAGCTGCTGGTCTGCTGCCTCAGTCAGTTCGTTTTTGTGTGTAATTGTGTGGTTTTTGGTGAATCTTAACACTTCGAAATGCAAAAGTCACGCAATGGAACAAACTAATGGAGGCAGCAGTAGAGCAGTATCTTCTGTGTTCAGCTATGTTAAATCACTGTTTTTGTCAATGGACTATGGCTGTGACGAGAGCGATGAAACAGCTTAATTTTCCCACTGGAAATCACTGTCTGCCATTGAGGTAAACCAGTGAAAATATTCTAAATATAGTGTTCACTTAAACTGATATTGATTTTTTTCCATGGGATTTTTTATGGTGGTTAAAATCTGTTTTGTTGCTGACCCCTCCACAGCAGTAGGTTGCTTAGCTTACATGTCTGCTTCTCCAAACTGGGACATACCGCCTGACATCTGCTGTTTGTAATAAACTGTCTGTGTTTAAGTTCCACATACAACCCCACTTCAAATCATCTGAACTATCCCTTTAAGATTTTTGTGATTTGTGTGAACTGACCCTTTAAGGAACTCAGTGTCAACATAACTTCAGGTCCATTTCTCTTAAAGTAAAGGTCACATATAAACAACCAGGTATATTATGCATTAAAGAACAGTATTGACGACCTTGAATGTCACATGTAGATGTTTTGATCCTTTATTTTCTACAGTAGAAGTCTCAGTACAGTCATGTCTGTTCAGTTGGTTGTTTTCAGAGAAAATGGAAGATGACGTGATGATCTGCATGTGAACTACACTGCTGTACAGTTTGTACAATAACTGGAGATTCAGAACAGCTTTTCTTAATAACTGTGAGATAACAGCATCAACAGCTCATGTGCATATAGGCTAGTTATAGATGTCAGGTTAACTCTCTCATTGTAACTAGTAAAAGTTTACCTTTTAAACACATTTGTTTTCTATTGTTTTGTACAGAGCTGTCGTCACTGTGTGTGTCTACTCTCGAAAGCTTGTGTAGAAGTTTGTCATGTGTTGGCTGGACTGCCAAACTCAGGCACGGTATATCATCACCAGCGTGCAGGACAGTGTGTTCTTAGAGGAATGATACAGTAACCAGGATCACCTGACAATCTCTCCTTCAGCTAACAATGCAAATAAATTTCATACGCACACCTGGAGCCAGGTTTCTACTTGTGTACTGGAAAGGGTCAAACTGGTGGAGTCACATCCTCATTCCTGCTCCTTTGTGTGGTCTGATGATTAAAACAACATTCAGTACACAGCTCCATACGATGGCATGTTTTAATCTTGTATGAACAGGATAAGACTTAAAGGAAAAGTACAACAGTTTTAGAAATATGCTTATTTGCTATATGGTAGAAGAAGCGTTCAGATCTGCAGGCATGTCCAAAGTCTGGCTCAGGCACTGATTTTAAATGGCCCACGGCTTGTCTCTCAAAATATACTGACCGACCACGTAATATTGGTTCATCGAGTGAGTTCACATATTTCCCATCCACCTCATGACAGGACTATTGCAGTTTATAGATATGCACCACATTGTTAAAAGTTATAACCCTGATATATAACCAAAAGTTATGCGAATACTAACCACTGAGTATCGTGAAATGATCAACAGTCCCATGTTCATCCATCCATCCATTTTCAATTGCTTATCCAAAGTTGGGTCGTGGGGGCCAAGCAAAGCATTCCAGACGTCCCTCTCCCCAGCATCGCTTTACAGCTTTTGGGGGACCCCAAGTTATTCCCAGGCCAGACAAGATATGTAATCCCTCCAGCTTGTTCTGGGTCTGCCCCGGGGCCTCCTACCAGTTGGACGTGCCCAGAACACGTCTAACAGGAGGCGCCCAGGAGGATCCTGATCAGATGCCTGAACCACCTCAACTGATCCCTTTTGACGCAAAGGAGCAGCGGCACTACTCCGAGCTCCCTCTGGATGTCTGAGCTCCCTACCCTAGCCCTATAGATACTTTCATTACTCACCTGCAGTTTAAAGGTCCAGTGTGTAGTTGGATTTAGCGGCATCTAGTGGTGAGGTCGCAGAACTGAAACTGCTTCTTGTGCCAGGCTTTTAGGAGAACTATAGTGGCTGACAGATGCAAGCAGCCCTATCTATAGAGTGCCCCAGGGTTGATGTTTTTCTGAAGACTGACACTGAGGTCAGCTTTGCACTGGTTCCCTCATCAAAAAGCCTATAACATTTCTCAACTGGATTTTGGATTATTGCAGAAAATAAAGATACATGTTTGGTTCAGCAAGATCATCACTACAAATGAACAAATGTATATCCAGAGAAGCTTATCTGTGAGTCCCAGGTGAGCTTCTCTGGAAATACAGATATGGATATAAACAGCTCATTCTGAGATAATAAAAACACAACAATTCTTAGTTTCTGGTGATTATACACCAATGAAATAGTTGAAATAGTGAAAGTGGGCTTGTAGCTATGGGGTACTTACCTATAGATTGTATATTACAAACAGCAGATGTCAGTCAGCACACCCCCCAGTTTGGAGAACCAAGCTGGAGTTTGACATGGATGCTAAGCAAACTACTGCTGTGGAGTGGTTCAGCAATAAAATGTATTTTAGCCACCTAAAAAAAGTCCCATCTAAAGTGATGACTGATTTCCAACAGGAAAATAAGGCTGTTATATCACTCTCTTCAAAGCCAGACTCCATTGACAAAAACAGTGATTTAACATCGCAGAACACAGGAGCTGCTGGTGTATCATGGCCTGGAGCAGTCAGTTAGTTTGTGTTATTGTGTGACTTTGGCTCTTAAAAGGGTTAGTCTGGATTCACCAAAGTCACACAATGACACGAACAAACGAACCAATCAGAGCAGCGGTAGATTAGCAGCTCCAGTGTTCAGCAAGCTAAAATTACTGTTATTCTCAATGGAGCCTGGTGGCTTTGACGAGAGCATAGATGAGGCCATTAATGGCTTCATCAAAATGGGCTGTCTGACAGGAAGGTAAACTGATCATGATATTTCAGGTTGGACTTTTTTAGGTGGCTAAAATAGGCCTACGTTTTGTTGCTGACCCCTATCCACAGCAGTAGATTGTTTCGCATCTGTGTTGGACTCCTGCCTGCTTCTCCAAACTGGGGGTGTACTAACTGACTATATTATTATTCTATTCTATTATATGTACAGTAATATACTATGGATAAGTGGACCATACAACACCACTTCAAAAAAATATGAGCTATCCCTTTAAGCATCTACTCGTGTTGTCTCACGCTCGCCTGTGAGACAGTGCTCAGGACAAAAAGGCTCCAATCATTTGTTTGTGGCTGCACTGCGCATGCGTGCTTCACTCAGAGCCAAACTACAGCGACGCAGTTTCAACTTTTGAACTTTATTTCTTAAATGAAAGTGTCGCACGCAACTCCTGAAGTTCACCGAGGACTGTTGACGTTTAACGGGGACCTGAACACCAGAGTCGGGTCAGGAAATAAGGGATTAAAGGACTTTTGTTGAAGCAGGAAGATAATGGTCGCTGGAGGACTCGAATAACGTGAGTGTCATTATGTTGAGTTATAAACCGAGTTTATGTCGATGTGACTGTTCACATGATGTTTCCTCCGTCTAGCAGCTGTGTGGTTCAAACCGTAAAACCGTTAACGTTAATACTGGTGTGTGAATGCTAATGTTAGCTAACGTTAGCTAGTTAACCGTTAGCTTTAATCTTATAAACGTATTTACCCATAGTCGATAACCAATTAGCTTCATGTTACTGTTTGTTTACTGTATAACTGTGCATGTATATAAGATGTAGGCCGTTATGTGTGTCGTTTAGTGTCTGATATTCTCTCAAGTTGTTAATAATTATTGTGCGAGACTTGTTAATTTGGGTTTTGAAAAAGCGTAAGTTGTAGTATCTGTCAGTGTGTGTGTGTGTCAGTTTGTTTCCTCTCACCGACAGTTACTATGATACAGCTAATTTTATCACCCTTTTTCTGACGTTCTCTGTTTCGCTTCCTCAGTGAGAGCACTGGCACTTCTCTAAACTGGTTTTTGCTGTACCATGGTATTTTTATCACTTCAAGTTAATGTGTAAAAGTCCCAGGTGGAGCTGCAGGTTAATTTAGTCTCTCAGAGTCACATGACCTGATCTCAGAGGAATTAATTGCTTTTATTAGGTGAGGGAGGAAATGGATACAGCTTAGTTTGTGTTGCAATATCATAACCTCACACAGTGCCAAATATCGATTTTTTTATTATTATTTAAATTGTTAATCTGCCAAATGCAGATTAAAATTTTGATAGCCAACTAGAATACTCAAATCAATTGCTTCTTCAGTTCACTAGATGTATTTAATAGGGGTGTAAGGATACATCGATCCACATCGATACATCGATTCACTGATTAACGATCCGATTATATCGATGCAAAATGAAAACATCGATCCATATCGTCATCTTAAAGATACACATTTATATTGAAATTCACATAGCACGTCTGTGTCACCATTTCTGGGCAAGCGCGCCTCCGCTTAAACAACAAACAGAGCTCAGAAATAAAATGGTCAAATCATATTCTAGTTGTTTTTGTGAGTTGATGTAAATGATTGTGTTAGATGGACATATGATATCGCGTCATATCGATTGCAGGCTCCTGAATCGAATTGAATCAAAATCGTATCGTGACAGACTTTGTGATATCGGCAAACATCGTATCGTCATCCAAACAAATTGATATAATATCGTATCGTGATGAAGCTGGTGATTTACACCCCTAGTATTTAAATGGAGAAAAACAGATGAGATGAACAGACTGAAAACTTAATCTGATAATATAAAAACAGATGCTGACAAAGTTTTCCTTTGGAGACATAATTTACTGTTGTAAAAAGGTAATAAACTGCAGTATATTGCAACATATTTAAAATTGCAATAGTGATATTATTGTATAATGGAGCCTCTGGTGATTCCCACCCCTGCTGCTATTTATTAGTCTAAATCAAGGGTTCTCAAATGGTGTGCTGTGATGCCAATCCAGATATGCCGTGGGATTTTGTGATAACCACACATTATTAGACAGTATCAGGAAAGCCTCCTGTCTTATTTTTTATTGTCTCATGTCGTGATAAGAGTGATAACACACGTTATAGAAGCTACCTTGCACAGATATAATACAGGTGTGCCTTGAGAGCTGGGCTTGCCCTTTGGTGTGCCTTGGGCACAAACAGTGTGAAATCACTGGTTTAATGTGTATAGGTTTTACTCATTTTCCAAAACCTGTTTTTTTTTTACTGATGTTCTGTGACAGATCAGGATATCAAACTGCCCTAAAGGCACCATAATGCCTCCCCAACCTTTATATTCTTTAAATTATAGGCCCTTAATTCACAAATCTGCAGACTGTTTTCTCTATCAGTCAACTAACTACTGCAATTAACACACTGCATTTGTCTATTAAAGCCAGAAAATAGTAAAACATGTCCATCAAAGTTCCCTAGAGTTTAAGATGATATCCTGAAATGTGTCAATTAATAGTTCAAAACTCAAAGACATTAACTCTACAAAAACATATAAAAACATTAAGCCAGCATTTGCCAATTAACTAATAAATTAAATATCAACTGTGTCAATGCATTAATGTTTGTATTACTGTTTGTGTGTTTTCTACAGGACAGAGTAAACCAGCAACACACACACACACACACACACACACACACACACAGTGAGGAGATCATGTGGTGGTTCCAGCAGGGTCTGTGTTTCCTGCCTGCAGCGCTGGTCATCTGGACGACAGCGTCCTTCGTGTTCGCTTACATCACAGCGGTGGTGCTGAGACATGTGGATCCTCTGGTGCCTTACATCAGGTCTGAGTCTGTTTTTTTTTCCATATGCTCACAGTCACCAATTAGAAGACAACTCACTTAGCCAGCAAACCCATAGGTATTCCTACCACTGAACTATCTGATTGTGTCACCTCACCCCTGATCTGCAAAGCACTCACAGTCACTCACATCCCAGATCATCCACTGCACCAGTTCCTTATCCCCCTTCACTCTGGACTCAAGCAAGAGCATTGTTCCCACAGCCATATGTGTCTGTTTGACTAAATAGGTCAACCTTCTGTTTAATGACCTTTGTTGTGTATTGCAGTGACACAGGAGCGATGGCACCTGAGAGGTGTATATTTGGCATCATGCTGGATGTGTCAGCCTTTTTAGGTAACACACACACACACAGACTCTATGTGGAACTACATTGTGTAAAACAGTCTAATGATGATATGGTTTACCTCCTTGTCTTTATTTACTGAATTCGAAGGTTATAGCCAACATGTTTGAGTTTGTTTATTTTGATTGATTGATTGTGTGTGTGTGTTGTGTTTGCAGGTATGGCCACAGTGTACGTGCGTTACAAACAGGTGGAGGCTCTGATAGATGAAGGCGAGCTCAAACTGAACAGACTGAACCGCTTCGGGCTGGTGTTTGGCTTGATCAGCTCCTTTGGGATGTGTGTGGTCGCCAACTTCCAGGTGAGTGCTGCCGGTCCTGGATCAGTTCACACCTGCACAGTGTGTGAAGTGTTGATCATGTCAGCAGTAAACCTGTGTGTGTGTGTGTGTGTGTGTGTGTGTGTGTATCTGTGTGTGTGAGAGCAGAAGACCACGCTGTTCTCGATGCACCTGGTGGGCGCGGTGCTGACCTTCGGGGTTGGGGCTCTCCACATCCTGGTTCAGACGCTGCTCTCGCTCCTCATGCAGCCTCACATCCACAGTAAGACCATCTTCCTGGTCCGCCTCGGCATCGGAGTCTGGACCTTGAGCAGCATCATCAGTAGTATCCTTTAACACAGTTTTTTCTCTGTTATCATGGAAGACAAACTGGTCCTGAAGGTGTGATATTTACTGAGTGTGTACGAAGTCACTGGGAAGATGCACCTGGACTCCCAACTGTCCTTATATGTGAAGAGTAATTTCTACAGTCCCATTGTTTTTGCACAGTGCTTAATACAGTGCTTAAGCTTAATAGCACTGTTGGAACTAATTTTGGGGGTCAAATATAAATTGAATAATAAAAAATACTAACTGAATGCTGAAATTACTATTCAAATGTCAGCAATCAGCATTTATGCACAGGGGTGAAGTTTAGTACTTGCCCAGGGGAACTAAACTCTGTGTTTGGGGAAGTGGAGTGCCTCATGAAGTTGTCCAATTTAGAAAATGAAGATTAAATGTGATGTTTCATAACATTATCTGAAAATTAACTGTGTACTGTATCGCTGAAGTGTAGCTTTTCCAGCTGAGCCTCACCACCAAGCATTGAACAGAACTGATGAAAAACATCTAACATACTGGACACCGTAGAAGTTAACTGATGTCATATAAGACATAAAGTTACTATCTCTGGGATGCTGCATGTGAGAGACTTTATTTTGCCCAGAAGCTAACCTTCATTGTGCCGTTCCAATGAAGGCTCTGGTGCGATCACATCCCTTTCAGGAGCTTTGTAGAGTAAATGAATCTATAACAGTACCGTATATAACGATTGTCCTCTGTGATTATTTATTCATTTTCCAATGTTGAAAACAGTTGTCGTAAGCCGTCAACTTGATTTTCTTGTATATAAGATAAGGTAGAACTTAATTTATACTGATGGAAATTGTTGAAAATAGAGAGCTTACAGTTGCTGGCTGCTGCTCGTGTGGTGCTGAAACTGGTAATATAATCATGTTATATGATTTGGAAGATACCAACCTGAATATTAAATGTTGTGAAATAGATATGGCAGCAAATCATGCATGTTGGATATTTTGACTCACAACATCATCTGCATATTGAAACACTTTCCTGTTGTATTTATGTCACGTATTCAAACAGTGATCTGTGATCCTTAACAGCGTCCTGTCAGTGTTCATATCATCAGTCATTATGTACAGCAGCCTTCCAGGAGTGGACGTACCTAAAAAACTGCACTGGATCCCTGGAGAGACGGTCAGTTTTGCAGCATTAGAGCTGCAATTCTTTTTTTAATACCTGTGTTGATATGATCCAAGTTTCAGTACCGACACTAAAATGAATGTTTCTAGCTGCTCAGATGTTAAAATGTTTTCTAAACACAAACAGCTATACAGCAACTTTGTCTGAACAAAGTTATGTCACATTTTCATTGGTAACGCAGCTCTTTGCAGCATCACATTGATGTTTGTGTCTTTTTCAGGGTTACACGGCTCACATTATCAGCACTGTGTCTGAGTGGTCTCTGGCTCTCTCCTTCATCAGCTTCTTCCTCACCTACATCAGAGACTTTCAGGTAATCCGTCTCATCTTTTCACCCACACAGCTGCTGCTGAAGGTTGAGTCCATTTTGTTCTGTTCATATCTACTGAAAAGGATCAAGGCTGCATAGAAAATGTTCTGATTCACCCCTATAGAGGAAATTCAGTTTGTCCAGATACATAACTGTGTTGTGTGCATGTTATGGCTTGAGGGAATAGTTCAGCACTGTGGGAAATTACTTATTTTCATGTAGAGAGTCAAATGAGAGGATCAATACCACATTCATGTCTGCACAGTAAAGCTTCAGTTATGCCTCTGCTCTGGGCTGTTAGCAAGCTACAAGCTCTGAGGCTGAAAAATTAAGCTTTGGGCAGAGCCACGCCAGCTGTTTCCCCTGCCTCCAGTCTTTATGCTAAGCTACTTGTCTGAACATCTCATTATCCAAAACAAAGACAGTAAGACTCCCTAAATGTTGAGCTGTTCCTTTAAAGGGATAGTGCACCCAAAAATGAAAATTCAGCCATTATCTACTCACCCTCATGCTGAGGAAGGCTCTGGTGAAGTTTTAGAGTCCTCACATCCCTTGCGGAGATCGGCGGGGGGAGCGACTAGCACACCTAATGGCTGACGGCGCCCCAGACTTACGTCCAAGAACACAAAATTGAAACCACAAAATATCTCCAACATGCCCATCCGTAGTGATCCAAGTGTGCTGCAGCCCCGACATAAAAAGTTGTTTCGAAAAACGTCATATGAACTCTGTTTTTAGCTTCACTGTAGCCTGTAGCTCTGACTGCTTCTCTGTACTCCGCGCTCACATGTGCGTGCTCAGGGTGATCGGTGATCTCTGAAGAGCAGCAGTCTCGTCAGTACTGATGTCCAGATTCTCAAGTGCAGGCATCGCCAATTCCCAGTCTGAGCAGCAAAGACTTTCCTCATCCATTGGCACTGCTTTGCATTTGAAACAACTACACCACCAGGTTTCCAGTGCTCGACTCCGGTATTCTGCGGCTGGCTGAGGCTCATGAGCTGCGGCAGCTGCTTCGTCCAGTAGCCTGAGTTCCGTCCGTATACTCGGGCTCAAACAAATAGGGCTCAACAAAGAAATGCTGTTCCTCAAAATGCTGTCTTCAGACATGTTGGGCTGTCCTTTGCTAAAAGACCGTAGTGCAAATTATCTTTTAGCTACTGTGGTTACCGTTGTCTCTCCCTGCGGTGCACGTGTCACGTGATGTAAACACGGGTGAGCAAAGCTCATGCTTTCGCTGGTCTCGCGCAAGCGAGCACACGTGAGCGCGGAGCACAGAGAAGCAGTCAGAGCTACAGGCTACAGTGAGGCTAAAAACAGAGTTCATATGATGTTTTTCAAAACAACTTTTTATGTCGGGGCTGCAGCACACTTGGATCACTACGGATGAGCAGCATGGAGATACTTTGTGGATTCAATTCTGTGTTCTTGGACGTTAGTCTGGGGCGCCGTCAGCCATTAGATGTGCTAGCCGTTCCCCCCGCCGATCTCCGCAAGGGATCTGAGGACTCTAAAACTTCACCAGAGCCTTCCTCAGCATGAGAGTGAGTAGATAATGGCTAAATTTTCGGTTTTGGGTGCACTATCCCTTTAAGGTCTTATTAAAGGTCTGTGTCGACAAACAGAAAATATGTCCTAACTTTGTATGCTGTTTCTTTCTCTTTCTTTCTATAAAGAAAATAACTTTGCGAGCAGAGGCAGATTTGCAGAGCAGCCACCTGTACGACAACTGGCCACCCGGTGGCATCACAGCATCAAATCACAACCATGACGCCTTGGAATCGTCTCCACTGCTGGCAGGAGGAACATGACCGGCTGCAGAGCATCTCACTGCTTTTAAACAAATTTTCACTTTTTCTAAACACGTTTAAAGGCTTTTTATAAGGACTTTTTTAAAGCTGGTGTGGTGGCTCTGAAAGGGTCAGTACATCCAAAAACATACTCTCTCTTCCCTCTAGTGGCATCTGTCAAGTCAAGTAGTTTGAGTTTTTATGTGTCTGTCCAAGTTTGGAGATTTCTGCCTCCACCCCAGTAGCTTCTTTGCATATGATGTCATATGTCAGTGCACTGTCCAGATGGAGGGCAGGCAACTGAAGGCAAAGACTACCAACACTGTGCAAATGCTTATGATCTGCACTGTTTATGGCTGATCCAATCAATCAGATCAGGACAAAACAAAGGCTACTTTTAGTCTTTAAAATAGTAGGACATACAGGTGAGAATTAGAAGAAAATACCAAAAAGTCCCAGAGAAACAGCGGCAAATGGGGGATCAAAAACTTTTGTCTTCAGTCTGGAGGAGCAGTCAACTTATTTCAAATGTAAACATTAAAGCATGTTAAATGTGTCATGTTGGATGCAGTTAGAAAATGTTGTGACACCCTCTCAGTGTTTTTAGCCACGACCCAGATTTTTAACAGCGTTTCACCAGACCTCTAGAAACAGTTGACCGAGCAGGTAGAAAATAGTTGCTAAAGTTAGCTATTATTAGCCAATAACGTTGGCTAGTAACGTTAGCTTGACAGCGACGCATCCATGTCCAGAGTTGAAATGTAAAAGACAGTTATACTCAAAACACATTTACTCACCCTGTACTGTTAGTAACGTTTGGAGGTGTGGAGGACGAGGTCATTTGTAATGTCGACCCTTCACCCTTCCAACATGACAACTGAAATATTCAACATTAACATTTCTTTCAGTAACAGAGTTCCTGATACTCTGGATACCGCACAGAGCAAACGGGAGACAAACCAAACTAACTGACTGGAGAGATAATACGAAGGGGAAGAGACAGATTTGCTGTTTGTTTTTTTTTGTTTTTTTTTTTGTTATAATTGGGTGAAATGAGCCTTTAAACCCAAATATGAGGCTTTGCACTTGTCCATCAAACTGCATCAGTCCATTTCAGTGACTGTTCACTTCAGTGCTGCACTTTATGTCATTTATACTTACTGTTTAAAAAAGAGTGTGTTTTACTTTCAGGTGTAAGTTATGCTTCCTCTCCCCTCACGTGTCGGTGAAGCCCACTGAGTCATATGGTAGAAAAGAACATTTGTTCAAAAAAGAATGATGATGAAATGGGCTCGCTGATTTAAAGTAGCAGAGGAGAGAATATTTGTAGGAGCGCTGAGTGTCAGTTTATATATATATCTGTATCTATGCATATAGGACAGGTTGTGATTTTAACTAATTGTCTGACATGAGTTACCAATCTGGGTTTTATATTAGTTGCATTCCATTTGTTTATTTTAAAGGTGTTTTCAGTAAATACTACTGATTATTACAGTATACATATATTTACTGTTTTTACTGTAAAAGCCATGTTCATACTGCAGATGCATTATTCCCTTTAAGCAATGTGCACAGTTTTCTTTAGAAACTGAATTACTGCTGTGCTCACCTGTAGGTGACGCTGGTTGGCGGGTTTATAAATGTTCTGACAGTAACTGAACAGCTTCTGCTGGAGAATCAGCAGCCTGATGAAAGTCAGATTGTGGTAACATGCTGCAGTATGCCACCAGAATATTTAAATATTTTGATATATTAAGTTAAATAAGTATTAAGTTAATATATTAGTATTACAAATTGGTTCAGTTTGTATTTAAATAATACATAAATTCACTTAACACAATTATTCTGATGACACACTCCAGACTCCACAGTACCTGCTGTCGATTAACTGAGAACATAAATAATAATAAATAAGAAGAGAAATAAACATTAATATTTAAGCAGATACAAAGCTACTGAACTTCCAACCCTGAGTTTCAACTGTACCTTGTATTGTTGGTGTGATGTTCATGTTAAGATTAATAAAGATATATCTCTTTGTAGCTCCTATGGTCACAGTTTCTCTGCTTCAGTCTGAAGTTTTTATATTCTTTAAACATCTAATTTCGGTGAGTTAGAGAGTAGCTGGTAACGAAAGTGGAACATTCAGTACCTAGATAGACAGACATTTTATATTTTAGTGGAGTTCAGACCAAAGCTAAAAGGAGACCAACAACTTAAGGAGGTAATAATCCTTCAGAGGTTGTTTTCAACTTGTTCTGCTGCCCCCAAATTCCTAAAACCTCAGTTATTGCAGCTTTGATTTAAAAGCTATTAATATAACTGTCACATTAGGTTGAAGTTGACATTTACTCCCAGCTCTCTAACAGGTCGAGGTTCTTCCGCCACCAGTTTGTCATCGGCTGTTCTCTGATCAGCTGCTTCCAACAGGTCAGTATGTGGGTGTTACACTTACGCGACAATGCCATTGGCCACCGTGGGTTGTTGGGCTGGTGTTAGCAGTGGTAACCACTGTATGAGTGCAGTGCATAGCGGTGGTGATTAGATAGCTAGTGGGACACACACACGGACTCCCATGCGCTAATGTGCACGTGTGGTTGGGCCATTCACAACAACAAAGAACAGAGAAGCTCAGATTACAATGCACACACAGAGGGAGCGTGATGTCATCCTCTTCTCAGGACACCATTACTCCACTATATCTTTACATAGCTAATAATTAATGCTGTGAATGTTGTATAATGGTCCTTTAAAGCTACAAAAGGTAACTTTAAAAATAATATATAACTTTTTGTCAATATTGCTTGAACTATCACTACATCCTAACGGTAGTGCATGAGGCAGAAGATCATGTTCTTCCTCATCTTAGTGCATCTAATGGCATTTGCAGGAATCTCTCGGCAGGTATCATGGAGGGAAAAAAAACACAGAGAGCTGTAGTTGGTAACTTAAAATAACCTTCTGTCATATTTGCTTAAACTGTCACTAAATCCACACAGCTCTACATTACACAAATAATCTGTGCTAGAGAATCCTTGGCTCTGATTGGTTGTTTTTCTTTAGCCATGGTGGATTCTAGGTAGTGACATTAGAAGAACTATGAGGAGGAGGAGCATGAGTTTTTCTGTCTCATATTATTATTTTCAATAATTATTTTTATAAAAGTTACCAACTACAACTTTAAGTAATTCTGAGAGTAAAATTTACCAACTGGTGAACACAACAGATTTTTGTTTTTTCTCTCACTCATGAGGTCATTTGTAAAACGACACCCTGCTCATTAAATCACTGAAACTCAAATTTTCAACCACTTTACTTCAAACCACTTACGACACCACTTAAACTTATAAAATATAATAAATAAAAATCCCACACAGATGGAAGCAAATACATGACAAGTTTTAATTTTCCCATAAAACTGACATTTCTATGCAAAGCGAACATTTCAAAACTTTCACTTCCAAATTGTTCTCAAGCGCCCCCAACTGGTGATGTGTGGAAATTATGAATTTTTGAGAGGCTCAAACAAAATGGAGGAGTTTCAAACATTGAAACTCAGATCTGACATTAACTTTGGCAAACTGGTTCAAACTAATTCCAACTTTCTAAACGACCCATCAAAACCCTGTTTATGCACAAAACATATCGTCCACTGCTCTGTGGATTTTGGGATGCTTTAAAGAAATAAAAATCACAGAATCTGTTGAAGATGATTTGATGTGAACTGTCCGCTCTCGGCACCGATAATCACAAATGATCAAAGTCTAATAAAATTACAACACATTAAAATATTAATGGCTTGAACTTATATACATACAATCATAACAATAAATAACAACTCTGAAATTAAAGAAGCAGCTTCGTCTGATCCAGATAAGCGACATGAAGAATGAATATATAACTAAAGTCTTTTTGTAGGTTAGAGGTTTAACTGGTTGTTAAAGGGTCACTTCACCCAAATTACAAAAACAGTCTTTCTAGTATCGTCTCTCCAGTCAGATACACATATGGTTTTGAGATATTTGTCTAGGATTTCTGCTTCCACATCAATGCCGTGCGAGCAAAGTAACACAACTTTAGAACTGAAGAAACTCAAATGTTAAATTAAGAAAGAGCAACATGTTATTCAGAAACAGTGTCCGCAAGAAAATATTGATACACTTGAGTATCCTGATATTATGTTTTGTGATAATGTACAGATTCTCAAAAACGCTGCCAATTTTTTTATTGTTTACAAATTTTAATTCTCTTAATTTGTTTACATTAAGAATCTGAAGCGCTTTACTTTTAATTTTGTCTTTTGATAGCGGCAAATGTTCAATACGTTACTCAGGGCGGCACAAACATTAGTGCTATTATGCTGAATGGTACAGGGACTGTGATAAATACAAATACAGATCCCACTGTTCAGACTATATTAAAAAAAAGTGCTTGTTTTTTAAGCATATGATTATATTTGTTAAGAAATTATAATTGTAATTGTTCAGAAATCACAATATTGTAACCCCTGTATCGTAATTCATATCGCATTGCCAGATTCTTAACCTAGTGAGGATGTGTTCCAGATTTGAATGGCTTTAAAATCAAATCACAATTAAAAGACTGCAGTTTTTAAAAGGTCTGGTGTGTCTGATTTAGTGACATCTAGTGGTGAGGCTGTAGATTGCAACTAACTGAAGTTCCTATGTGCCAAGTGTGTAGAACTACGGTGACGAACCCTAAAATGCAAATGTCCCTCTCTAGAGCCAGCGTTTGATTCTCATTGCTCATTCTAAGGTATGAGAACAGAATTCTTCCTCTAGTTTCAGGTGATTATAAACTATCGAAAATAGTTACAAATATTATATTCCATTTTTGCAATATATATTCCTGCTGAGTTTAACTTTAACTTAGATTATTAATGTCTCACCAAACTGCGAAATATTCATTTAAAGGGTCTGTCTCCGACCTTCAACTTAGCTGTTAAATATACTCAGCTGTAGTTCCTTATATTGATGCCAAATCGAAATTCTCAGCTGATGCTTGTATATTTAAAAGCTGGCACAGAGTGAGCAGTATTTAAAATGTCACCGTTAAAATAAATACACATAAAGCTACTTTTGAATGTAACAATTGTTTTTGTAAATTATTGGGTAGCAGTGTCAACAGTAAGGCTAATGTAAAATCTCAATGAGTTAAATGTGTGATTTATATTTTTATATATTATTTTATTTTACATGCTGAAAAAAGTTTAAGTTTGGTACAGGCCTAAATACTAACAGTATTAGTACAGTCACAGAAAACTTCCAATTAAGTTCCAGTGTGAACTGTTAACAGTAGGGCTGTCCCCTGAAAGTTGGAGATTCGAATCATCAATCGGAGACCCCGCGGTCGACGGAGACGGCTTCAAGTCAAGCTGTCGTTCTTGTTTTTTGGCTTTCATACTACTCTTTGATACAGAGAGATGCGGACATGATGTAGCAGCCCTACCCAACCAACTACGACACAGTCTATGGTCTTTGATTGGTACTGAGTGTCGCCAAAAATGAATGCACATTTCCGATCCGTTGTTAGTGCAGCGAGCTTGTTTACTATATTATGATGAATGCCGCTGTCACTCTGAGTGTCCTACTGAGTACGTTTACTCAACTTTAGAACTTTATGTAAAAAACAAAAAAAAGAATTCTCAAATATTTGTATTAAACAAGCAAATCTGATTCGACAGCCCTAGCTGACAGTGTGTTCTAATTACCACCGCACAGAAGATTGTTGTTTTTGTAAGTTGGATGAACTGACCCTTTAACATCGAGAAAAGAACCAGATAAAGAGCAGAAGAGTTGAAGCTGCAGGTGTGTCTCAGAAATACAGGAGGTAGTGAACATCCAGCAAGTCCAGACACCATTAAATTCCTAAAGAGTTCCCAGAATGCACTGCAAAAAGAAGTGAGTGCTCACTGACTGGAGCTCCCTGTGATCCTAAACTTAGTTTGGTTATAAGATTGATTAAATGCGAGTAGATTATGCACCATGTGAGTGTACAGTAATTATAACAGCTGCAGGTTCCCTGATGATCACACTGAAAGTTGTTTGTCTTCAGTCGGGAAGAAGGAGGAAGGTTAACTTAAAGTTTGACATGCGGCTTGACGAAGACTTGTTATTCTACTTGCGTCAACATGTACAGCTGCAAACATTTTACCCAGCTAGAAGACATTTTACTGACTCTGGTCCAAAAAAGAGACGGTGTCCCTGCTGAAAATGAGCACAACACCAGAGATGTGGGCCGTGATTCACACGTCTGGAACCAGTGTGACGCCGACGTACTCGACAGTGTTTCACTACCTTCTGACAGAGAGAGACACCCAGTGACTTCGTGAATTTATTTGTTCTTTTAATTGCTATAGATCTGCTTGAAGCTATGGCACGAGCACAGCACATCCAGAACATCTGAGAGCTGCTTAAAGACTCCGCTGTTTTACACAAGGACAAAGTCACAAAGTCACTTCTCCATCCTCTGACCTCCACCTTTAAAACCTGCAGGAGGATCCCTTTATTCCAAACTGAAGTCACGTGTGCAGCGGTTTCCACTTCTCTGACGATTACTGGACGGAGGGAGGCATCAGAAAAAAGGCCGGAGGGTTATAAGGCATCAGTGTGGCGGGGCCACAGAAAGGCTGACGAGCTCCGCAAATTGGACATTCACAGCCGATCTGCACGTCCTGAACTTTGTCCTCCTTCACTTCACTACACCTGAAGGTTTAAAAGGCCGATCCGTCACAGATGATGTTCTGGCCTTGACCGGGGAACAGCTCCATCTGCCAGTACCGAGGGTCGGCGTACACTACAAAAGGTCAAAGGTCAGAGGGAACAAACATCAGCTGAGTGTTCAGACAGCCTCGTGACGTTCAGCTGTTTGATTTTAAACATTAGGGAAACAGATACAGACTGTGAGGTACAGTTTAAGCAGCTGCTAACTGCAAACAGCCAATGTGGCTATTTACACCCAGGTGTGTGTTCCTGGCTGTCGAAAAAAACATTAACACAAATACAGCTATTCTGCTAAAGTTTATATACACATTGTGCATTCAGCCGCTTTATACATCCTTGAAACTAAAAGCTCAGGGAATATCCCCATTTGGCTAGTACTCTCCTAATTATGATCTCTTTGTTCTAATCCTAACTGCTTCCAACTGTAACGTGTCAATGTGACAAGTACTAGCAAATTACAGGATCCATAAAAACTTGTTGTAGAGATGAGTGTAAATAGCCAAATAGCTGCAGTGTGACTATTCTCACCCAAGTTTAAAGAGAAGCTTATTTATAGACACTATTTATCTATTTTAATATTCATTATTTCATTTTTTTATTTATTTTTTTATTTTTATTTATTTTATCATTCTATTTATTTTATTGTATTTTAATTATTTTATTATCTATCTTATTATTTTATTAGATGCTATTTATCTATATTATTATTTACTATTTATTATTTTTATTTATTTCATTCTTATTATTTTATTATCTAAGACTTTACTTGTATATTTTATTGGGCAAATTATCTTTATAAATTGTATAAAAGACCTTAGGTGTCTGCTGTTGTAATCCAACTGTAATTTACTAAATATCTGTTTTTGTAAAGCCCTTTTTTAAAATAATGTACCAATATAATAACTATGTTATGTATTCAGCGGCAGTGCAAAATGTTGTAATAATTGTATGAAAATCCTTGAGCGTTAGTAATTCACTAATTGTTTGCTAAATAACTGCACATAAGATAATTATTGTTGTGAGGAAAAAGAACACCTTCAGGGGCTCCAAGTCAAACACACACTGCACACAAAACAATGATTACCATCATTCATATACTCATTTACTCTTTGGGAAGTGGAAAGTAATCTGTTGTTTTCTACAGAGCCCGGAGTGGATTTTTTTTATTGTGTGACACAAGACCAAAGTTTATTCGTACAGTGTGTACGAAGTTTTCATTTTGTTACATTATATGTGTTATATTAAAAACAGGTGCGGCAGGTGTTACCCATGTCTCCAGGTGTCAGCCACAGGTTGAAGGAGCTGCAGTGTTTCTGACAGCGCTGAACAGGCAGAACTCGGACGGTCGGTAAACCCTCGCCCACCACCAACCAGCCAAACACCCCGACACCCTGAAACACAGACCCACGAGTCAAAGTTAGAGACTGAGAGTTCGTTTGTGGTCAGTCCTGTCAGTACCAATAATACTGTATTCCTGTTAAGTCTCTTAGTGTGGATGTTTGGACACCGTGAACTTACCTTACTCTGGGAGTTTGTGCTGTGGGTGACGAGGCAGCGCTGCACGATGGTCCCAGCACTGTCCAGCAGCGGGCAGAGCTCAGCCTTTGGGAAGAGCCACCTCAGCACCTTCTCCCTGGTCCCAGAGCTGAACCTCCTGCACCGACAACATAACACACACCAACAATCACCAGTCACTATCGTGTCTGATGTCATCAAAGATTTACTCCACATAGTCTCTCTAACAGGAGATATAGACAGGGACAAATTTCCACACATCTTTTACGCAGACTACTCTCTCCCACTGTGATTAAAAAGCAGGTCAGGTCCGAGTCCCTCAGAGCCGAGTGGACAAGTGGAGACATCTACTTTGAACAGAAATGTGTACCAGAGCAGTGTGAAGTTGGCGGGTCCTTGGGGGAGTCCGAGGTTGTGGTTCTGCAGACCGTCGTCTTCCTCCAGCAGGATGGACATGGAGCCTGAATGGGCCAAGTAGAGCTCCTCAAGCTGCTGCCGCTGGACGCTGAGAGACTCCCCACCCTGCAGACACCAGTGTGAACGAACAAAACATTTCTCCCACATTACTGCTCAATGGAACTGCAACAATTAATAGAAATAGATTGGCCCTGAACTATTAAATTAATCTGCAACTGATTTGATGATTGATTAATCAGTTTGAGTATTTCTTAAAGAAAAAAAGGGTCAAAATTATCAGATTCCAGCCTCTAAAATTTTAATATTTAATGGTTTCTTCACTCCTTTATGGCAGTTAACTAAATATATTTGGACTGTAGAGAAAAAGAGACATTTAAGGACGTCATCTTGGGCTTGACACTGATCGACATTTGTTTCCATTTTGTGACATTTTAAAGACCAATCAACTGATCCGATTAACTGAGAAAATAATCAACAAATTATTCAACAATGAATAACAGTTAGTTGCAGCCCTACTGCTCAACATCATGTCACTGTCGTCTGATAACAGTGCAAACATATTTGAAAATTCTAGTAATAATTAAACTGTGATCACAATAATCAACTGTGATGATTTTTTTTTGTAACTTCCAAGACTTACCAAGTTTATTTTCTAAAGAAATGCAGTGAAACAAACAACACACTTATAACAATATCATGTGCCACACTTAGAATGCTGGGTTTGAGACATAGACTGGTTTGGTTTGAACTCTGACCTTCAGCAAGACCAGCTGCGGCCCCCGTCTCAGAGTCACCGTCCCTCTGAGGCTCTCTGGGACTTCAAGCACCGAGGAGATCTCTGCACAGCCCGAGCAGTTGACCAGATTTTGCCTGAGAGAGCCGGCACTCCACCATTCGTGGAAACCTGCAGCACACACAGTAAATTATGTTTTTTTTAATCCTTTAGAACAGATATGGAGTACTTTCTCATTAAAAAACGTGTTGGTGTGTACACGTGTGTCCTCATGCTTCAGACCTTGCAGGTTGTACTTCTTAGCGATGGGCAGGGACAGCAGGCGGACGTGGCTGAGCGGGGACGACCAGTTGTAGCAGCCCAGGTTGACCAGACCCAGCTGGGTGGCACTCTGAGGGTAGGTGAAAGCCAGCACCACCACCAGCAGGAAGCCCACTGCCACCACAAACTGCAGAGACAACATGGACATTAACAACACTGAGAGTTGTGTCCCTCCTCAGGACACACAGAGAACATGAAAAAACCTTCCGAGGTCTTAGCTGTGTAATATTTGTGTTGGCAGGTCTGACCTTTATGGTGGCTCTCAGGATGGGGAACTGGGGAGGTTCTCTCCTGGGCTCGTTGGTCTCCAGAACCTGCTTGATGAACCTCTCGATCTCCCTCTCCGACATGCCATAGCGGTAGCCTGATTGGCGGAGGATGTCAATGCTCTCGGACAGTTTGTCGTAGATACACGGCTCGCTCATCGTCGTTCCCATGACGGCAGCACTGACTGTGGCTTCTCGGTCAAACTTGTCGATCTTCAGCTGCTGTGAGCTCCAGGAGCATGATGTCACCTGAGAAGACATGCAAAACATGAGCTGCCACTTCATAAACCAGCTAGCTTCGTAACTTAGATGACTTAGGGGTGTTGATGTTATTTAAATTATTCTAACCAATCTAAACATGGTTGCAGTGCTGTGAGTCTCAATGTGTGCTAAACGCCACTCATACAAACAGGTTTGTTCTCAAGCAGCACGTTTGATTTATCAAAGAGAATGTGTGGCATTCACTGATAGCCAGAATGTTTGTACAAAAGGAATTCACATGTGGTCCAGACCTGTTGTATGAGTCATGCACTGATACCTCCATCCCAAAGGCTATGACATGTGGTGTCCCACAAGGGAGTGTTTTGGGTCCACTGTTGTTTTTAGCATACATTAATGATCTGAACTCGGCATGTGCATGTGATTTATTTTTATATGCAGACGATGCAGCATTGCTGGTATCTCATAAGAATAAAGCAACTGTAGAAGATAGACTAAGCGCGGAGATTCAAAAAGTAGCGGGGTGGCTCTCCGATAATAGGCTTTCTCTTCACCTTGGAAAGACTGAGTCCATTCTCTTCGGAACTAGACCCAAATTGAGAATTTCACCCAATTTTGAGGTAAAATTTGGGCAGTCAGTAATTACGGCAAAAACAAAAGTTTACTACCTTGGATTAGGGCTGCCACGATTAGTCAACTAATCGATGGCTAATCGACTATTAAAATAATCTGTGACTATTTTAGTAGTCGACTAATCGGTTTGAGTCATTTTTCATAGACAACTACTATAAAAGTACCCAAAATACTCTTATTGCAGCTTCTTACGTTCAGATATTGGCAGCTTTACACACTCTCCCGTGACAGTGAACTAAAACCCTTTGGCGTGAGTACGAAACAAGACATTAGATGACGTAATTTGGGGGTTTGGGTGAGACAGACCGTCATTTTTCAACATTTTAACACATTTTTCGATGAAATGATTAGTCGACTAATCGAAGAAATAATCGACAGATTAGTAGAAAATGAAAATAATCATTAGTGGCAGCCCTACCTTGGATGAGTTATAGATAATATTTTGTCAGGAGATGATATGGCCATGAAAGCACACAATAAGATTACCAACAGAACAAAATTTCTGGCAAGAAATGCAAATATACTGGATTCAGCAACTTTAAAAACCTTGGCTGGAGCATTAGTACTATGCCATTTTGACTATGCTACCACCTTCTGGTATAGTGGCACTGCACAGTCTCTTAAAAACAAACTGCAGACTGCTCAAAACAAGTTAATTAGAGTTGTTTTGAAGCTGCATCCCCGCACTCATTTGGATTCAGTCCATTTCAAAACAATTAATTTCTTAAATGTGGAAAAAAGGGTAGTGCAGATTAAAATGAGCATTGCCCACAAAATAGCTTTTAAAAATGCACCTCCCTACCTTGCTGACCTTTTTAATCCAGTGAGAGCTACACACTCTCACAATACCAGAGGCAGCCAAACAAATTTTGTACCCTTGAAATTTAAAACTAAGTTCGGGAAAAATACCTTTTCATACACTGCAGCTTGCCTGTGGTGTGATCTTCCCGTTTCTCTCAAATTAATCTCAAATGAAAGAAATTTTAAATTCAATCTTAGGAAATGGCTGACAAATTGAAGATTCTGTGCTTTCTGGTTCCAATAAAATAAAAAATAAAATAAAAAAAGTTTTAAGGGGGTTGTTTGTTTTTATCTATGCCACTCTTGCCTGTCATTGACACAACTGCCAGCTTTTATTGTCATCGAGGACCACAATGGAAATAAGCCTTTGGGCTTTATTGTGTATTTTAATCCTTGACGATTTTTAATTAATGTATATGAAACTGATATGCAGTTACTCATGTATGTTTTTTCATTGTTGTCAAAATAAACCTACCTACCTACCTCCCTCTACAGTTTAACTGTACTTGGGGAAAAAAGCAAAATATATAACTAAAACAAATATACATTGTAGGGATTTGGTGGATATTGTTTTTACCAGATCATTAGCATTAAATGTTTGTTAAAACACCCTGCAATCATCAGTTTAGTGTTTGAGATAAAAGTAGGCATGCACGATATTGGATTTTTTGCCTATATCTGACATGCCGATACATAACAACTGATACTGATACTGATATCGATATATCCACTTTTTTTCCTACCTAATTTTAGTGATCATCAAGTCTCTTCTGTAGTGGAATTAACATCATATTATGCATATATACTCTTATCCTGATGGCCCACCAGCAGATGGAGACATGAAATACAAAACTTTTCAATGTATCTTTTATTTATTAATTGTGTAAGATAAGAAAAAACATGTTGGCCGATTCTAATAGTTGATTTTAAAGCCAAAATCTGCCAACATCGATGACGTGCAGATATTATAGTGCGTCCCTGTATAAGAGAGACTTCATTAATGTTCATTTGGAGTGGGGAAAAATCGATTTAGCATAGTATTGTGATATTTTTGTGTGGCTATATCGTATCGTCACACAGTGCCAAGTATCAATTTTTTATTACATAAATTATCAATATTATAAATACAAATTAAACTTTAGGTAGCCTTCTAAGATAATATAATAAATTGCTTTTTCAATCCACGATATACATTTTAGTGCTGCTGCAAAACAAAATGGCTGAAGTCAGATGTCCAGACAGAAAACTTTATCTTATGAGATAAAACAGATGCTGACAAAGTTTTCATTTGGAGACATAATTTACAGTCGAAAAAAGGCAATAAATCACAATATCACAATACTCAGCATATCGGAACATATTGAAAATTGCAATAACATTGTATTGTGACTCAAGTATCGTGATAATATATCGTGGATCCTCTGTTGATTTCCACCCCTATTATCCATTGGTATACAGTACAATACTGTACAGTACAGTACATAGAGGAAATTGAGTTTCCCTTACTCACAGTGCAAAACAAAAAAGAATGAATGATGCAACTACAGAAACAGAATGGAGCTATGATGCAACTATCTGTGGGAGTGAAGCATTCAGACGACTCATACCTTGCAAAAACAGGTACAAACAAGTAGTGCATTAGTGTAAAAAACTACAGCTAACATGGCAACAAACATTAAATAATATAGGAGGATTTAAACACAGTCGACCTTTGTTTGTGCGACCGTGGACGTGGTAGAGGAGACAGTATGGTATACAGGTAGAGACAACGTGGGGCGCCTAAGTCTCTTAGGTTACAACTATAGTATAGTTACAACTATATAAGATAACTTCAGTGTTATCAGTACTCAGATCCTTTACTTTTAGTACAAGTACTAGTACTATAATCTAAAATTGCAACATTATAAGTAGGTAACAAATAAATAACAGTACAGAAGTATCAAAAGCAAAAGTGCTAATGATGCAGAATGGCTCATGTTAATGTAGAATATTATATAATTCTGTTTTTATCATGAACAAACACACCCGAAAGCATTTGAAGTTTGCATTTTGTAGTTTTCCAACGCCACATTTAGATACTTTACATGCTATTAGGTTAATAAATGTTAGTATTACAATGCTGCTATAATATGTAAGAACTGTGTATAAAGTAACTACACCTGTCAAATAAATGTAGTGGAGTAAGAAGTCCAATACTTCCTTCTCAAACGGAGTAGCGTAGAAGAATACAGTGGCATAAATGGTAATATTCAAGTAAAAAACAAGCACCTAAAAACTGTCCTTGAGTTCAGTATCTGAGTAAATATAGGCTACTGTAGCTAGTTTACATTCCACCTCTGATACCATAATAAATACCATCAGTCCAGCTGCTGCATTTAAAACAATCACACATGTGTAACGTCGCCAAACACAGTGCCATGACACGATTTAATCTCCGTGATCATTAACGCTGTGTGCTTTAAAACTTAGTAACATACCAGCACAGGGATCAGCAGTGATCAACTGACAGCGACAACACTGACATGTTAGCTTGTTCCGGTTAGCTTCAGTTAACACCGTCACTTTACGTCGCTTAAAGAAAACAACAGCAGACTGACAGCCTCACCTCACAGTGACATCCACCGCCGTAGTCTGGGTCTCGTCTTTCTCACGCTACCTTCGAAAATAAATGTTTGTTTTTATAGCTTCCTAGTTAGGTGGCATGGCTACCACTAACAGCCCGGATACTGACTTCTTCTTCTTCGTCGTCGTCTTCTTTTTAGGTTTCAACGGCGGTTCATTGCCGTCACTTCTGTTTCGGAATGCGATTTAGAAATTATATCCTATTAATATATCATGTTTGACTGATAAAAACAAAGAAAATTGATCCATTTGACCCAGCTCATTACTGTTTTAATACTAAATAGTGGATACAATTTTCACCTAGCGTTTTACGAATTGGCGCATTACTGCCACCAGCTGGTGTGGAGTGTACATGACAGGCCGTTCAGGGGATTATTACAGGGGAACATCACCTAGATTAGAAGTTCAAATATGTTATTCCCATGGTTTAGGAAAGTTCAGTCTATGTTTGTGAACATGAGCTAATCTCTCTCAAAACCAGAAACCGGACAAGTTCGTCTCAAACTTGTGATGTCATAGGTTTAGTGGTTAAGCAATAGTCATAGTGTGGAGCTGCTCCATAAACAATGCACAGGACTCTGATTGATTGATTGATTGATTATATATATACCCAAATGAGCCTTATTCTGTTGTAGTGTTCTCAGTTCTGAAACAGAAAATGAACCCACACACTTAATAAAATTTGTCAGGTGATGTGATGGATGGGCGTGCCACTTAAGCAAGGATTTTGTCATCTGTGTTTGGAGGGAAAGAGCTGCACTCAAAAGGGTTCTTGTCATTTTTAAGGATTAAAGAACTAACTCTTGGGTGCATGGTTGGAGGTGGGGATTTTCATTAAAATGAATCCTTGAAAACTGACAGTAATGAAGGGGAGAGTTGGTCTGAGGATTTTTTTAAAGAAGTCTATTGGGTAACCATCTGGTCCTGGAGATTTGCAGACTTGATTTGCATAGACTTGATTGCTGATGCTATCTCCGTGGTCAAGATGTCCTCTTCCAACTCAGCAGCAGTCTCCAGGCCTGTAGATGAGATATGTAGGGTCTTTAAAAAATCTTCCAGTATGGATGAACTTACAAATGAATCGGATGTGAAATGTACCCGTGTACTCAGAACATTCCCCTGGGTGCTCTCAGTGTCATCTAGAACATCTTTCACCATTCACAGCTTCAGATTTTACACCCTATGACATCACAAATTTGAGTTTTAGCACTCTAGCTTTTGAACTTGGGAGAGAGTTCTTGTTAACTTATATTTTAAGACTCTCTTAGACCATATGAATAACATGTATGAATTTGCCCTTTAATGAGGAAACTAATTGTAATAGCTAACACATGGGACTCAGATGCACTAATATGCATGTGCGCTCAAACTGTCTACCACAACAGAGAAGCTAAGATTATAGCCATGGATGTATTCAGAGAAGTGGATACAGTGTTAGAGGCAGGCCCAGTCATTCCTATGAAAGTTGCACATGAGGCTACTGCATAATCACCTGGATGCTCTGCTTTGCTTCCACACTGTATGGCCCATAGAGCGACTTGAGACTTCTGTTGACCGAGCCAGCTACTTCAGGTTTAGCACTCTGCTAACTTCAATGAGGATAAAATGTTTCAACTGTGCAGCTCTTCTAGACTTTCTAAATGTTATTAAACCAAATGGATCAAAACCAGATAGTGAAACAAGTCATATTTAGAGGGGTTAGATGTTAAAAAAAAAAACTTTTTCCACTGTTTTACAGACATCTCTTTCGCCATGTAAGTATTTTTGGGCCGAAGGGCATCATGTGACGGTGTAATTACACTGTTTGGCCACAACAAAAATTGGCTTTAAATCTTGGCACAGCTCCTGGGGGCCTGATTACATCACACAGGTAGCATGACTTCATTCTCTGCACAGGATGCTGTTTCTCCATTATATTCATACATAGACAGTAGCTGTTTGCCATAAAGCTCTGATTATCACATGGAGCTCCTTTAAACGTAGACTTTAGATTGTGGAGTCCATGGTTTTACTTTAGGGGAGGTTGAACCCACGTTTCATAAACTCAGAGCCATGACCAATCAGAGGACAGAGAAAGGCCTCAAAGAGGACCAAAACAACGCACAGCGACCAATTGGAGCTCAGCTTGTATAAAGAAAGTCCCGACCCCGCTTCCGTTTCTTGTGCAACGATGAACCAGCAGCGACACCGAGCTGCGTCAAGCTGCAGAGAGTCACAGGATGAAGCTGCAGAGTGACTCAGGAAAACAAATAAAGTAAAATAATTTGTAAAAAAGAAAAATTATTTGGAGTACAAAACTTACGTCAATTTTGTGTATAAAGGTGTAGATTTCTGAGGGCATGTAAAACAGGGGGACGGATGTCGTATGCTGTAAAGCTCTGTGAGGCAAATTGTGATTTGTGATATTGGGCTTTACAAATAAAATTGATTGAAAATTGAAAACTGATAAAAGTAGTAGAGGACTTTTATTTCAATAAATTTAAAGACATTTTCACCATAAACTGATCCAGAAAAGCCACAAATTAGTCTATAAATAATTATTAGAATACAGGAAATTAAGTGTTTGATGCTCAAAATGTTATGGCGGACGCCCCTATTTCATGTATCACCCCAGTGTTGAAACAAAACCGACAGCCCTGGTATTAACCTGAAAATATTTATAAAATAAAACAAATAGATAAATCATTTTAATATAAATAAATGAAAGAAAAAAAACCTGACGTTCATTGTGTAAAAACAGTATATTATTTTGAAAGCCATTACCGGAAGTGTCCGTTGTTAGCTTCCGAGCTTTACACAGCGATCCGGTTGTAATCTGGACACAACTGCCAGGCGGCAACATTTGTCAAACCAAAACCAAACTTGGCTCACGTTTGGATTTACTCTCAACTCGTTAACTGTCTTCTTGGTTTCCTTTCACAGAAACCAGCAGGTTAAACTGGTTCAGGCCGGTGTAAACTGGTGCTGTGGTCGCGGTCAGCGTGTTGTTGTTAGCGGAGGTCAGCGTGTCTCCAGCTGAAACCAGCCAGCCGTCCAGATGCTTTCCCCGGGCAGGACCGTGTCTTCCCGGCTGCTCAGGCCGGTCTCGAGGCTTCCTCTGTGGCAGGGCTCTGATGGGAGAGCCGCCAGCTCCCTGCAGAAAGGTAACAGCAGCTTGGAGCATTTTAAACTGGGTATTTAGAGCCGCAGAGCAGCTAGCATGATGCTAATCCCAAAGTGACGCAGTTCAGTGAGGAGACAGGAAACTTCCAAACACTGATGACCTGAGTGATGAAATGTTGAGTAATGACCTCTGTGACCTCTCTGTATGATTAGATCGAAATGTGACTTTAAAACTATAAAATCACTTAAAACAGCAGGAGATGGTTGATTTTAATACCTACATGATCAATAATGTAACTCATCTATCAGCAGAAGTAACATTATGTGGTCCCAACTCCTTTCATATATACATATATTATTAATATTAAACACAGATGGATAGACTGAAAGATAGATTATGTTTGAGATCATTTGAAAACTCCTGGGTCACAAAGTTTGTCCAGCAGACAGCACTGCTAAGTTATGTATTCAGTTTAAAATGTTGCTTATGTAAAAATACTCTGCATTTCTTGGTCACTACCTTTTAAGAACCACATTCTTCTTATTCATAACAGTATGTGGTTTCTGTTCTGTGCATATATGAAAAATTAACATCTGCTCATGTGTCGTTATCAGAGTTAATAAACTCTAGAAATTAAGTATCAATCGAGCTCTGGTTCAGAAACCCCAAAGAGTTTATTACCTAGGAAGGTCAAATTTATTATAATTTTGTCGATAAGCAGTATTCAGTGTACAGAGGAACCAAATATCCTCAAGTGACGCAGTTAAGTCTGGAGACAGGAAACTTCTCATCACTAATAACCTGAGTTATGAAATCTTAAGTAATGACTGGTGTGAGCTGTGTAAGATTATAAGAACACATTTAAAACTATGAAATTACTTAAAAACAGTTAAGTCCACGGGAAAGGGTTAATTAAGGGAAAATGGATCATTTTATTCAATTTCAATATTTCAACAACTTAAATAGTTCATCAGACAGACGTGTCAAACATAATGTGATTACATCTTTGTCTATATTACTTTTTCATTACCTTAATTTGTTTGAAATTTTCATTTCACTTTTTTTTTCAGTTTTCTTCTTTTATGTGTTTGTTTTTCTAAATTCTTAATTGCTCAATGTATATAAATAGATCAGGGGTGTAACTATACATATCCTTTAGACGAAGTAGGAATACCATATTCTAAAAACAAAGCAACACATAAATACAACAAACATTTAATAACCATGCTACAAATGCCACAGATCACACCAGACATTACAAAAAGTGGATGCAATGCAACAAATTAATTATTACTAATAGATTCAGCGTCTGATTCCGGTACATTGAGGCTCTTTACCTGCACTCTGATTTAGTAGTTTGACAGACTGAGGAGCAAAAGAATTCCTCAACCTGTTCAGTCAAGACTGTGGGACTCTAAAGTCTCTCTGTGAGGGCAAAAGCTGATATTCAAATAAAATCTGAAAGGGGTCTGATGTAATATTAACAGAGACAACATTATTTTAGTACACACAGCTGGAAAACTTGACTCAAGAGTTTGACCCACAATCTTTGAGCAGATATGTGGCAGTTTAGCTTTAAGTTTAACAGAGAGGCAACTGCACCATACACTGATTTCATGCTGCATATACTCAGTGTTATAGATAAAGTATTTATTATGCAAACTCTCCTTCCTTTCAGATATGCTATATGCTACTGGTTAGTTAAACAATAAAGCACTGCATCATATTTTATAAGCCCTGTGGTAGTCTGGTGACCTGTTGAGGATGAACCTCTCACCCAATGTCTGCTGGGATAGCCTCAGCCCCTCCTGCAACCCTTAAAAGGATAAGCTGTAAATTTGTCTGTCAATTTTATTTACAAATGCGATATGATTTGAAAGTAGCAAGTAGTCACACAGTGAGTAAAATAAATTATGTATAGAAATACATTATTTTAAGTTGCATCGGTAATCGTTTTATAATTGCATCGTAGCCCTCTGAATCGACTCATGAGATGCCTAGACATT